GTTACGGCAGTAGCCAAAGAAAGAAAATTGTGGACAACTGCCTGTTTTCACGAGAACATTTTGGACCACTGGCGTTCTTTCCCTATATGGATGTTGCTGTGTGTTTTACGGCCCTAGTTGATCAAATCATAAAAATGACGTGTTTTGGTGAACAAAAAGAGCAAGCTATATAACTGATCGTGACAGACTTAAGGGTGAAGTTAGTGGAAAATTGTCACTGATGCACTTTTCCCCCTTATTGTTTTCGAATGACATACCCCAAGTCTACCAGGACGACTAACTGAGAACGAAAACCCATCAACCAATAAACAAATTCAGTGTTGTATAGTTGTCTATATTATATCTAACACTGTATTCTTTCTGTTGGTTGTTGGAAGGCATCACTAGTAGATCCTTCTTCTTCTTTCAGTCTGTTATAATATTTTTCTGCCAATCGATTAATTGTTTACTAAAATATCCTTCGTTATATAAAAAGTCTATGGTATGGTTTGCTTCTTCTACGTATTTTCAATGTAACGTTTTCCTTATTCATTTCAGTGTGTGCATTTGGAGGGCGTCACAAGTAGATCTTATTATTTTCTTAACTATTCCTCTGTCGCCATAGTCTGTCTTGTCCTCGTAGGTGGTTTGTGGGTGCTCTAGTATGGTTTGCTCCTTTCTTTTTTAAAAATCAAACATACTATATCGCCCTTATCTCTCCTCCCTCTATGTTGCTTGATACCAACACGTCAATCTTCGGTGCCTATATTATGATCTATTTGTGTTGTCAGTGTTGTAAAACTCTTACTGTAATAAACAGTCGTGTCTCCCTTTTCTCTTTCTGTAAACAGCCAGCATCATGTTCATGTTCACTGGTTAACTCTAAACACTCTAAACCCAATAAAAAAAACACATGAAAGCGTAGCTACTTGATCTAGGTCTACGTGTATTTCTTTTTTTTTTTTTACGTCAACATAGATACAATTTAAATTAGTTAGGAAGATGGACATCTCGACCCTGTCTGTCATTGCCCATCCAGGCTGGGTGGGAAACAGCATCCCACCAGAAGACACATGAAGATACTTGACAAAATAACTACTCCACTCGGGAATCGAACTAGAATGTAAAAATGAGGAGCCTTTAGCCACGAGAGCACAGGCGTTGGCCCCATGTATGGCTGTTTTCGTCGAGACTCAATGTAAACTACCACTCAACAGAAACAACAACAACAACAACAGCACCAGCATCAACAACAACAGCATCAACAACAACAACTATAACTACGACTACAATAGCAGCAGCAGCAGCAGCAGCAGCAGCAGCAGCAATAGTAACGATAACAAGAGCAGAATCAGCAGGAGCAGCAGGATCAGTATCGGGAACACCGAAAACAACAACACCGAAAACAACAACAACAACAACAACACCGAAAGCAACAACAACAGCAACGACAACAACAACAACAGCAACAACAATCGCCCCAACCTGTCCATTGTGCAGTGAGGAGCCCCAAGATTTGGAGCACTGGCTGCAGAGATGCCCTGCTACGGAGGTCAGGTAGTGGCGTCTCTTTAGGGAGGATTCAGGAAGGTTGGACTGCCTCACCCGCTACCTAAGAGAGTCGCTGGCCCTGGCGAAGAGCACGCTCTTCGGGATTCCAAACAATTCGGAAGGATAGGATCCCCCCCACACACACACGACAGCAACAACAGCAATTTGTTTTTATTTCTGCAGCACAACAACCCTTTGAATGTCTACAAGCCAGGTGCTCCAATAACCGGCGCCTCTGGTGTAGCGGTTAGGCACTTCGCAGAAGACATGCGTTCGATTCCTGTGTGGGGAGGCTTTCATCAAGTATCTCCATTGTATCCTTTTCAGCCTGGGTTTGCATGACAGACAGGATCAAAATAGCCCGCATCCTATATGACCTAAATTATCTCGATGGAGTGGTAAAATATTTGTAATTACTATAATTACAGGTCGGCGAATCAAAGCGATAACACACCGAAGTCTGTGATGATGTTCTTACACGGAGGAGGCTACTATGGCGGCACAGGAGCTCTGTATAACTTCACCAACGTTGCTCTGTACGACGTGGTGGTGGTGTCTGTCAGTTTCAGGTAAGTGCATCTGCAGCCTATAAAACACGAAATACTCCCGATTATATTAAAACCCAATGAAAACGTTGCCACCCAACCCCCACCCTTCCCACCCCGCCACGCCCCAACCCCATGAAAACAACATCAAACAACAATAACAGCAAACAAAATATTAATATGAAAAACAAATCTAACAAACGAACGAAGAAACGTGACACACCAAACAAACGAACAAAGGAACGTGACACACCAAACAACCGAACAAAGAAACGTGACACACCAAACAAACGAACAAAGAAACGTGACACACCAAACAAACGAATAAAGAAACGTTACAAATTAAACAAAAGAACAAAGAATCGATGCAACCCAAACAAAAGAACATTACAAATCAGGCCAAAAACGACGCCTAAGAAGATTATTTACGTTTACCTACATTAAATGATCACGTTAGTGCGCTGATGTGCTTCTCTTTTCTCAAGCTCTAAAACAAACGAGCAATATGGACTCAATTTCACTTTGACAGGCTTGACATTTTTGGATTTCTGTCTTCTGGTGATGACGTCATTCCCGGAAACTTTGGACTACTAGACATCGCACTCGCCCTGGACTGGATCAAGGTAGAGCATAGAAAGATTTTTCTTTGTTTAAGATAACTTGCTTTATCAGACCGGTATCCGTGGTGTGATGGTTTAACTCCCGACCTTTTCACACAGAAGACGTGGGTTCGATTCCCTTGCGGGGAATTTATTGCAGTGGGTATCATCTCAGTCTGCATGTTGGAAGCTGTGTCTCATTCACCCACTTTCTGTTGGCCCTAAATGGTAGGGTCGAAGATTAAGTCGAGGTATCCTGCCCTCCCCCCCCCCTCCTAAGTTCCTAGGTGATCTCAGTTTTGTCGAAGAGGGCGTAGAACATGTACTGTCAATCTGTGCTGTAAGATGCACTACCAACCACTTTGGAGGTGGGTCTCCTTATACCCTGGCCAGAATATAATGCCGACAGAGAGGGGAAAACACTGTCAATACAGACACAGATGTGCATGTATTATAAAATACTACCACATATAACTTCAGGACAACGATGTTGATGATGGTGGCAGTGGTAGTGGTGATGGTGATGTTGTTGATGACGACAACGACGACGACGTTAGTGGCGATATTGGTGATTCTGTTGAAGCTGCTGCTGCTGCTGATGTTCCTGATGCTGCTGATGATGATAGTGATGACGTTGGTGGCATCAGTGGTGGTCGTGTTTCTGTTGCAGATGATGATGATGATGATGATGATGATGATGATGATGATGATGATGATGATGATAATGATGATGATGATACCTTAGCAGGCAGGGTCAAACCAGCCCACCTCCTGAAGAATCTAACTTGTGGTTAATATAAACATTACTCATTTGCAATCAATCAGTCAGTCATTATTGCGTTTTCCCCCAGGATAACATCGGTCCCTTTGGTGGGAACCCTGACGACATCACAGTCTTTGGAGCAAGCTCCGGGGCTTCCAGCGCATCGATTCTGTACCTGTCTCCTTTGACGAGAGGGAAATTTCAAAAGGTAAAAGAAGGAGAGATTATGCGCGAATTACGATTTTAACTTATATTTTAACCCTATCCGTACGTCGTGTTTTGCTATCGTATCCATACGACATGGGGAACTCCGTGGGACCACTTTCCAAAGAGGAAACTTACCCATTGATCCGATCCGTACGATTTGCATTGCAGTCTGTCAAAATGATTTTTTAAAGAAATACTGAAAATTTCAAAGAGATCTTCGCACTAGAAGTATTCTCAAATGTGAAGAATACAACCCCGGGTGTGCAAAATGGCCCCAGGGCGTACGGATAGGGAAAAGAAGGGAGGCCTCAAAAGGACCTTTACCTTGGCTAGCCAAGTAAAACCAAGCCGTGTTACGAACTACAGTGAACATTACAGACCCGTGTCTCACATGACCTACCCACACTACATTTCTCGGGGGTCGCTACTCACTGTTTGGCCAATATCGAGGTAGCCATGGTCTCACGCACGAAAGGCGTTTATACAGACTTCAACATAAGTTTAGGACCACCTTGACAGATAGCCCCTGTTTTTTTTTTTAAAATATTCCCCAAAAAGACAGCAAGGAATGTTTCCAAGTTGTTGTTTTTTTGCTCTGAAAGTGTTAATGGGTCAACAATGCGTACTGCAAAGCTTCTTAAAGGGGCAAAACCACAACGTGCAGAACTGAAATCTTCGGGGAATTTTAGCCAAATTTGCAAACGGTCCTTAACTTATGTTGAAGTCTGTAACTTACTCTAAGAATGGAGACCTCAACTAGACTTTTACCAGATTACGTTACGTCTTCATTGCTTTCCCCTTTGACCAAAGGTCATACAATGTATAT